TGACAAAGTTTGTCTTACCACCCAAGTAGAGCTCGAAGTCTTTCTCGCCACTGGTAGGTTTCCTTTGGTCAGCCTGAACTTTTTCTTCAGGCACCACCCTTGCCAAGATGTTCCTCGGTGCTCTGCGCGAGGGTGGTGCACTTCAAGCAGGTAACCGTGGAAGGATCCATACCAAAGCTAAAGTTCGAAGCTCCGTAGGGCCAACCGCATTTTGTATGCCATGTCAAAATTGGCGATGCCACTGGCTGCTTTTTGTTCTCATGGATCGCGCCGCTCTTTGAGATCACTACAGGCGGTCGGAATCCATGGTGTTTGATCGAAATCGATTCCCACTTTTCGATTGATTCATCAAGTTTCTCTTGAGCGGCTTTCAGACGATCGATTTCTCTCTTCAATTTCTTCTCAGATTCCTTCGTCGCCGCCAACTCCTTTGTGATGAAGTTCCTGTCTTGTTTGTCCATCTCTGTTCTGTCATTGTTCGAGTTGGTCCTGGTTCTGCTGACCACCGGCATCGTCTCCAAAGCTTCCTCGGCATACTGCAGGATGATGTTCGACTTCCATCTTCCCAAGTAGGCTACTTGGGGTACGCGCCAGCTCTCCTGATGTATTGCAAAGCCCCCGAGCGTCCTCCTGAATGGCCGGATACCTTCTTGCCGAACAGCTTCCTCCAGCTCTCGATGACTTGCTGTTTGGATATTTCTGCTGTCGCGTCGCCATGTACCAGCACGTCTTCCTCAATCGGTGTGCAGTCCAGCGCTCTTCTCGTCACGGCGAATGGGCAAGGTTGGGACCAATCGCATTCGTCTTTGCAGCAGCATTGTAATTGTAGTGTGCGTTTCAGTCCCTTTCCTTCTTGGTCGCCCTTCGACAATCTGAGGTGTAGGGCCACTGTCTTTTCCTTCTCGTCGATGATGATGTCCTCCTTTCTTCCCTCATCATCCATACTGTGGCCACGGCAAACATCAGAGCTGGTCGATGTATTGTTCCTTTCGGCACCTCGTTGAACTCTTTCCTGCAAGCTTCCACCCAGCGATCTTCTTCCACTTCAGCCGCTTTCTTTGCCGGTCCCTTTGCTCTCTTCAGGGCTCTTGACACCTGGCTGAAGGCACGCTGTAGTTGATGTGACCAATCTTCGCCCGCTTCCACCAGCATGTGTTTGTACTCTGCCAAGTAGGTGACTCCGGCCTTGTAGTTCGATTCCCTGAGCACTGTCCCCACTTGTTCAAGCGTTGCGCACGTCCAACATTCTCTCTTTCCCTTCACGCCCAAGTTCTCCAAGATCTTGTTGACCGTCTTCCTGGTCGACTGAATACATCGCCCTCCTCGACGAATTGGCATAATAGCCCATCTTGAAGTTGTGCACTGCTCTGGAACCTTTGTTGCGATTAAGTTTGAAGAATTTGGCCGTCTGGATGGCCTTCATCCATTTTCGGTTCTTGCTTCCAGCGGGTTCTGCTTCAGGTTGTTGAGGCAGGTCTTTCCTCTTTCTCTTGGTCTCGAAGCTGCGGTCACCTTCGTCACCTCGGCGAACTCCCGGACGTCTTGCCATTCTCCCGGTTGTTTGGCATTGATTTGATCTCGTTGAAAAAACTGTTTGATATCCCCTTGTTGCGTCGCCTGACCAAGTCGAGCAATCCCCCGCTCGATTCTTCTCGTTGGCCAACTTCCAAAACCAGGCGGTATAGGAGGGCAAGGAATCTTCTCCCCCAGTTCATCTTCCATGCCATCCAATCCACTGAAGCCCTCGTCTCCGCCCTCGGCAATCTTCTCGAGCTCACTCAGAGTCGCCATGCCTCCTTCGTGTTCAGCCTTCTCGACACCAGCCAAGTCACGTCCGTCGTCTCCCTCACATACTCCCTGTCTCTCACTCGATCGTGAGGTCTCCGGTTCCGGGGTCGTCAAGTCCCGACGATGTCGACGGGGCGTCCAATCGGGTCGAAGTTGCCCTCGTCTCTCCTGGCCGTTCCGGTGTTCTGCGATGGTTCCCAGAGCTCTCCATTGCCAACAAACGAGCCCAGGGCGTTCTCACGGGCGAGGTCGGTTCGAGCGTCAGCCTCCTTTACCTCAAGGTCCAATCCGTTCCAATGCCTGGTGTCTCCAGCTTGCAGTCCACATCGAGGCTGGGGTGTCCATGCACCAGGGTTCCGGTTCTTCTTGATCCGTGTCCGAGTCCTCCTTTCGTCCATTTCCCTCTGCCCACCAGCGCCTCCAATGGGGAACCCGCAGAGGGAAGAGGTTCCAATCGTCCCAAAGCCGACGCGCCCAGCGGCAGCAAAGGATGAGGCCGAGGATGTGGGCCAGCAGTCCCACGCCGGCTAGATAGAAAATCCAGCAAAGCAGCCATGGGAAGGGCCACACCGCATACTCTCGAACCGCGCGAGCTTCAACCAGCGGCGCTTCCTCCATCATTCGGGCCCGAGCTGCGTATGAACCTCCTGAAAGGGTCGCGCGTAGTCGAACGAACGACCGACGATCCGGCATCTAGCGGCTTCCGATCCGGCGCACCTCCCTTAATCCTTCCCCCTCTTCCTTTCTGTCGTGACTCGTCCATCCAGCCGGTCCGAGCTCCCGCGTTTAACGGTGTGCCCACGCGGCCAGCAGAGTCTCCTGCTCATGCCACTCGGTGTCTTCTGGTCCCGGTGGTGGCAATCGATACCACTCTCGCGTCCGCTGACTGGGTTTCGACTTGAATCCCCTCCAAAGCCGTCGGCAGTGGTGTAGACGACCAAAGGTCAGGTCGTGAAAGAAAGTCCGCCTCCTTGTTCGCGGTGCCCGGCAGATGTGTGGGTTGTAGGTCAGCCAGTCCCAAAGACTCACACACCACTGCCAGTTCCGCGCCCAAGAAATTCAAGGCGCTGGGACGGTTGGAGAACTTCTGCGTCAACGCCAACGCCGTCACCGAGTCTGATTGGATGTTGACCGCCACGTTCACGGCGGCCAGGAGCTTGCCCCAGTGCTTGAGGGCGTCCAGGATGGCGATCGTCCAAGGCGCCCACCGGTGATGCCATGGCCTTCGTCACCCTGCCGTTCACTAGCGAGATAGCTCACAAACCTTGCGGAGAGGCGTCAGTCAGGAGGCTTGCGACTTGTACAGCCCAAACTTGCGTACTGGCCCCAAATAGACGAGAAGCCATTGCACCGCCCTTTCCACCCTCTTCAAAGGTACCCAATGGTCCTTTGGTCTGCTGTCCTTTCGGTGGGCTCTTCGAGCAGCCTCTGCCCGTGTTGACGTCGCCCTCGTGGCTGTAGAGCGCTGGATATAGCGCCGATGTCACCCAACGGGCCCTGGGTAGCATGCCTGGTAGCCAAGCTACTCTGCCTGCGGCTTTACGAAGTTCTGCGCAGCTGATCATCCCTTTCTTGTCCCACGCTTCCAATTGTCATTGTTTCTGAAGTTCACTCATGAAGCGTTCTGGCAACGTGACCAGCAAGAAGTCATAGTCTGGCGCCACCAGCTTGAAGTTGACTCCAATCCATGTCACAGATGTGGCCCTCTCCCCCTTCGCCAGCGACAACTTGAGCGGAGTGCAGCCATTGTGTTTAAAATGCACGCTAGGGTACTGTTCCTCGTCTCGAGTTTGCCAGCGAGCACCCACAGGGAATCATCTAAGTAGACTTGGTGCATGCCTGCATCGGCTGGGATCACCGACTGGACCATCCTTGCCACAAAGGCTGCTACCCTGCTCCAGGTCAACGGCGCCGTCTTGTAACCAAATAGCAGGGCCACGAACAGCAACCAGTGGTCGGTGTCCAACGCGGGATGCCAGGTGCATGTGGGCATCTGATACGTCGATCAGCACCAGCTCCATTGATTTGTCGTGAGGCCTCGTCTCACGCGCGTGAGCTGCGTGCATTCGCCTCACCATAGCTATGGCGTCCATCGGGCGAGGCGGTATCAGCCTCTCCTCCAGCGGGGCTTTCTTGTTGCCAGAACGCCTGAGGTGTATGATGATGCGCCTCTTTTTGGACCCATCCTCCTTCGTCTTGACGATGAGGCCCAACCTTGAAATTGTTGTTCTCCTGAACTTCGCCGCCTCCACCTCCTCTTTCTTTGCCTTGATGGCGTAGCCTCTGTGTATCAGGCGTTCGATCTCCACCTATGCGTCTTCCTCCTGTTCCAGGACTGACGCGTAGTTCCCGATGTCTTCTCGTAGTCCTTGGACTGCTTGCCAGTCTCCTTGCCAGTCTTCGTTGTCATTGGGGCTCTCTTCCTTCAAGGGTTGGAGGGAATATTCCACACGACCGGATGGGCAGTTCAATCCCCAACGGCACACCTTCTCTGATCCATTTGCGCACCTCCGTTTCCGTGTCATTGGCTCTTCGTCCCAAGGCTTCGAACAGGTTTGCGTCCAGCGGGGATACGTAGGACCACTTCTCCGCCAGCTTCACCTTGGCCGAACCTCTCGCCCCCGTCAGCTTCCTCAGTTCTTCTTTCCACTTCTCGATCCACCTCCATTCCAATAGGAATTCAGGCGACCCATAGGTTTCGCCCACCTTCAAGGCCTGGGGTACTGATTGCAACGGCGCTCCCAAGCTGTCAGAATCCTCCGGCCCAAGTTCGGCAAACCTTCCACCACTTCCATGGGGTTTTTCATACCCCCCCACGAAGGCTTATTGAGCCAGCCCCTTCTTGTCCTGTTTGAGCACGCCGTACTTCCCTTCCCCAGGCTTCCATCGCAAGTCCTGTTCTCTCTCCCTCGATCTCCTCCTTCTGGACCTGCTCCTCTGCTTCTCCCTTGCTACCTCCCTCTGTCTTCTCCTGCTCCTGGATCTCGTCGTCTTGACGTCTTCTTCTCTCCTGTGCCTCCTCGAACCTTCGGCGTCTCGATGATCTCTCCCTGACATCCCTTTGTTGCTCTTTGCAGGCTCCTCTTGCGCTTTCCTCTTCTCCCCTCGTTCTCGATGTCTTTGGGCTTCAGGCGTCGGCGACAATTTCACCCCCCTCCTTGTTCCTCTTGTCCCTCATCTCCGTCGCCTCCGCGTCTAAGGTGGACACTTCGTCGTGGTCGTTCATGGAATCCCTCACCCTCCCTTCCATGTACTCCGCCTTTGCCATCTTCGTGAAGTGGTCCATCAAGTGGGCATACGTTTGGCAGAGTTCCAAAGGGTATTCGCCAGACTCTTGCGACTCTCTCTTCCCATGATTGGTCGGTGTCTGGCATTGCCGCATTTGCACTCCCTCGTCATCGTCTCGATGCCGTAGAGCATCCCTGCAAATTGTTGTGGCTTCCAATGTCGGTCACCTCGCGCTCGGCAGGATTGATAGGCGCAAGTATTGAACACCGTGATCTTCACACCTGCCAGTCGCAAATAATTACGCTACCATCTCCGCCATCCCCCACGCCGACAGATGTTTGTCCACCTGCGATGGCGGTGGGTTCTCCATGCTCGTAGGTCTGCATACCGTCGTCGAAGTGGGGTTCTGCGCGAGTTCAGCTGCCATTTGAACCGATCTCGCTAACATCACTGTCCCTCTGTCACACTCCCTCTGCTGGGCCTCGTTGTTCTTGCTGCACCCGTATGGTTCAGATCAAGTTCTCACAGGGCCTGGCATATTTGGCGATTCCCTGAACCTCAATCGCGAAAACGTAGTACAGGGGAAGCCGCTGTGATAACCGTCGATCAAACCTTCTCTAGCCCATTTGAGGTGTGTATTGTAAGGTTCGTCTTCACAAAGGTCCTGACCCCAATCCTTCTCGGCCGCGATGACTTCCACGTTCAGGCCCCTCTTCTTCGCCACCCGGTGGATTGCTGCGCCCAAAGGATCCCTCGGTCCTGCAAAGTGATGCAAGAACCTGAACCTGCGACCTTTTTGATGTACTTGTCGATCTTCTCCTCCAGCTCCTTCTTGATCGTGTCCTTGTCTTTCTTCTCTTCCTTCTCCTTCTCAACCCCTTCCTCTTTGTCATCTTTCTTCCCATCGCCTTCGTCACCTTGGTCTTGTCCACCGCTCTCTTTCTTTACTTCTTCACTGCGCATTTGTGAGGCCTTCCCGTGCTTGTCGTTGGAGCCCATGGATCCTCTTCCGCCCAGGAGTCCCAGTCGCCGCCACCCTTCACATGCATGAGCTTCCTCGCCAACTTCCAGACCAATCCCACATGAGCGGCTTGGATGGCCGAGAGGGGACCGTTCCCAGGCAAGGAAGCCTGAGTCAAGGAGGCAGCAATGACCGAACCTGGTAGGGCGGCAAGTAGGCGGATATCGTCGCCCGGAGACCCCGCTTCCCGCTCGAAAGCTTGCCAAAGCTCCGTCGGCACCGCAAAGTGGTCCAGAATGTCCTGAACGGTCACCATGGCCCGAGCCACTGCCGCGGACGGCAGCATCCAAACCACTCGCGAGGATAGCCACCACCCAGCCCAAAAGAAACATTGCCCTTATGGACATTGGATGGAGGCTTGAGCCAAAATGGCATCCAAGCCTCCATCCCCCACCCAAGCCAAACTAGCTTGTCCTACAGAAAACATCGGTGCTCAGTTTTCTTTCACCAAAAAGGCTTGTGTAAACGTGCTGCGCTGCAGCCCCTGCAAGGCCAGCAACAAAGATCACGTGCTACCCAGTCACTCTATTGCGTTGAGTACAAGTGGAGAGCTTGTACGATTTTCTCTGAGAAGGTTGGTAGCAAAATCCTCAAAATACGCACAACCCTTCCTTAAAGTAAGAGCGACTCCAGAGCAGCAAATCTTGAAGATATTTTCACCATGTCTGAGGCAAGGCATCAGACCAGGCGCCTTTGCAGGATAGCAACGCCCTGGCAAAGGTGTCCTGCCAGAAGAAGTGAGGGACTTCCCATTCGACTTTTCACATTGCTTCATGAAAAGGGCATGAGGAGATTTGTATCTCTGCAATGCACCTCCAGCATCTGGATGTATCTTCGGTGCTGCGTTGCCAGCTGGAAAAGATCGGCCTTAGCATAAGTTTTTCTGAACAGGTCAACTGAACAAGCACAAAGATCTCTTTCACTCTTCTTTACTAATTTTATCGTGTTTCTCTCTTTACATGAAGTATCACCAGGTACGGTATCGCTGATTCCCAAAAGAATGGTCGAGTCCAAAGTAGAGTGAGAGGGCCTGACCGTGTACTTCACAGATTCTCCTGCGACGACACAACGACTCCGACTCCGAAGGATTCCGCAGCATCCTTTCCTTCTGGAAGCAAAGGCAGAGCTGGACGTTCACAGCTTGGAAGGCAACCTCAAACTGAGAAGACTCATGCAAGGACGCTACTAGTAGCTCCTGGCCTTACTACTAGGAACAAGAAGCTACTAGGAGCAAGGGCATCGGTACTAGTAACAAAGGGAATTACTACTATATAGTAGCATTCTTGCTACTAGGAACAAGAAGCTACTAGTAGCAAAATGCCTGAGAAGCTGATCTTCTGCCAAACAACGACTGAATCAGAAGAGGTGAACCGATGGACTGTTCTTGGATTTCATGGGCTGTTACGTAGCTGTGGAAATTGTGGGCGTCGGAGCTCACTGAAAGCTCCACAGCTCCGTTCCTCACGAAGCAAAGGCCACGAACATGGTCGCTGCACTTCGTCGAGAGTCGAAGATTGAAACTATGTCATATATATATATACATACATATATTAAAACAATTTAAAAGACAATGAATATGTGTATATACAGTATGCACTATGTGTATTTCTCTGACTCTGTCCTCAACACGTTGACCACAGGAACAAGATTGCTTCACCTTGCAACGACAAGGCGTGTCCTGCACAGTTGCAAGACGGAATGAATCGTGTCAAGTGACATGTGGGTCATTGACAGGTCGCTCCATGGACGTCCTCGCACTCTGAGCCAGGATGACAGGGTGCCTGCTGAAGGACTTTCGAGGATGAGCAGGCATAAGAATAAGAACAAGAAATTGTCTGTTGCCTACACATTCCAGCAACCACAGGCACAGGGGTTTTATGTGCTTGCCTGACAGGTGTGGCTGCAGTGCACTCGCCTGCCAATCCACAAAAAGTCCCAAGCGACTGGACAGTTGCTGATCTCACCTGGCCCCGCAAGGCTTGGAGCATGGCTTGCACTCACCTGCACCATCTCGGAGGTAACTTTCCCGAATCCGTCCATCAAGGCGAATCAAAGTTTTGCCCGATATTGACTCTTCGGCAAAACTTGGCAGTTCTCACCTCCGTGGCATGGAGACGTGCAGCTGTGGCCACAGGGCAGCTGCTTCCCTGAGCTGACTAAGCTTGTTGATTGATGTGCAATGCAAACGCTGCAAGTATGAAACTGTGAAGCAGCTTGTGCATGGATTGTCTGTCAACCGCAAATTACTGACTAGCTCTCCTGTTCGGTCTTCTACCCAATTCGATTTCGTTCGATTTATAGTGCATCGCATGAATTTTGCACAGCAGGATTCAACTCCTTTTCTATGCGAAAAGGTCCACGATATCACTTAAGCAATGACTGACAGCGCTCGAATCTCCCCCATTTCGAGGATCTCCCCAAGTTATCACCTGTCCATCACCGCGAAGTGCTGCGAAGGCCCAAGAGGATCCACAAATTTGATGAATATCCACAAGCTCGGGCTCCATAGTTCCACTGCTGCCTCCTTTCTGCCTAGTCAGGCAACCCAAAGTGGGACAAACAGAACGTCAGAATCTTACACAGCTGCCTCGTCAGAATCTTATGAGGCCTTGCGTTTGTTAACATTGGTCAGCGGTGTGTGGTCAAACCGTGAGACTTTCAGACTTGTGCCTATCACCCCATGTAACCACCGTGCCATCCTTTTTGAGTGCGGCAAATGCTCTGGAGGAAGCTGACATCCTCTGCACATCGTTCAATGAGCCATCTGATGAACTTCGCTGGCACAGAACATGACCCCATGTCACCACCTGACCAAGCCGAGTGAGAGCAGCAAAAGCTTCGGCACAGGCACAAAGTTGACAAACGCTCGTCAATCTGTGGTGTACTTTTCGGCAGTCTCCACCACTCTCAGGATCACCCCAACTCAGTACTGTTCCATCACTTTTCAAGGCAGCAAAAGCCCAAGATGTGGCTCGAAGCTGCAGGACATTGTGTAGGTGCTCTTGCACAGACCTGGGAGCACAGCTCAAGCACGACTTTAGAGCCGGCTCCAAGGAAAAAGCCCTCAAAAAAACTTGCAAACATAGCTGCCTGCTGTCACCACCTTTGTTTGCAACTCCCCAGGTGATTGCCTTGGCATTCGTTGTCTGCATGTCAAGCTGGCTTGGCCACAACATCTTTGAAGGCCTACTCTTCACCTATTTACTAGGTTGGAGGCCATCGCTAGTAGGTTGGAGGCCATCGCTCTTAGGTTGGAGGCCACCGCTTTTTGGTTTCTTTGCTTTTAGGTATGAGGCTCTCTTTCCAACAAAGGCTGGTACGCGCCCATCGGCTCTCAGTGCTGCAAAAGCCCATGATGATGCGCAAATGCTCTTTACGTTCATCAATTGGTCCTACTTGCAATCTGGCAAAGCTGCTAATCTCATACACTCTGCAAATGCATGCTTTGAGAATGCCAATGTCAATAACAAAACACCATACCATTACAAAATCATGTATGCTCCTGAACACTGCTGCTGTCGCCACCCTTTCGGTCGTTTCCCCAGGTGACCACTGATCCGTCACCTTTTATTGCTGCAAAAGCCCAGGTTGCTGCAGAGATCTGGCGCACACTGTGCAACTGCTCCTGACAGAGAATACTACACTTACAGGATGTTATATACAGGTATGTTCGGCAGGATTGGTAGAAACTTCATGCTCAAATAATGTGAGTGCGACACTTTGTCTTTCACAGATTTTGAAACTGCAACGGCAAGTGCACCCACGCCGCCTTTAGCTTTAAAAGATTGAACAAAACAAGAACACGTTCGGCGTTCGGGTACAAAAAATTTAGCGTGCAAGACAGAATAGGCGACTATGCGAACCAACAAAGGCTGGCAGCTTTGACCACTCGGCCAAGTGCAAGAGAGATAGGATTAAGCACAGAAGTATCCCACTGGTCCATGCACAACCGTGATACACACGTGGAGGACCAAAGATATAACACCAAGAACCCGGCCCACGCCAGTTTATAAAGGAAAAGGAGTATTTCGAGGGAGTATTTGAAGGAGTCTGGGATGTGTGTCACGCGATACAAGCGCTCCTGCACTGCAGTGCTATCTCCTCCTGCGTTGGAGTCGCCCCAGCAGACCACTGAGCCATCATGTTTCAGCGCAGCGAAGGCATAAGCAGAGGAGCAAACACTGCAAACATCCACGAGCTGATGCCGCACGGCTGCAGAATCTCCACCTTCGGACGGAAAAAGCCTTCCAATACAAAGCCACAAAGCCATTTCAATTTGTCTGTCTCCTTCATAACAAACCTAACGAGTCCCAATGTCTGACACAAAACCACGTTGAGCGTTGCGGTCACAGCAAACAAATCGAGCACTTCAGCTTTGTTGTCACATCTGTCAACATCCCGTTGGTCGAGCCATTGTCCAAAACTTGAGTTCATGCCCTTGCGCAAAGGTGCCAAGGTTTGCTTCACCCCAGGTAATCACGCGTCCATCTGTCACAGCCGCTATTGCTCCAGAATTGGCACAAACCTGTCTGCAACACGGGTAGATTCACAGCACTCAATTGTTTCTACAATAAGGTACTGAAGCAAAACAAAAGTGTTTAGCTCGGCAATTCCTAGAAGCAAACTCCACACTGTTGAGGTCCTCAGGCACTGCGCAACATGAGGCACCTGCAATGTACATACCACACAGGGGTGTAAAGACATGTCTCTTTTCCAGTAACAAAATGTGTTCTTTAAAGGCCATACACCGTATGTATATATATATATATATCCTAGGCTTTCCAAGACCATTCAAAGAAAGGTTGACCTGGTTGCGTAGTGTAAAATCCTTAGTAAAACAATGGTGGTTCGGTAAAGACCATTAAAACAATGGTTGTTGGAAGCCTTACGGTATATGTATATACACATCAAAATGCTCTGGAACACAAGCGTGTCTTGTTGTTTAGGCTCTCGACTGGCCACGCCGACAACGAGGACGACAACAACAACAACAACAGTGGATGCAACTGTTTCTATGGCGGGACATCACACATTGTCTCATTGTTGTTGAGGCTTGGCGGAGAAAAAGACTCTGTTGTAGATTTCATGCATGGTCCCCTCCCTTCCACTCTTCCCACAAAGCCAGGAAGCAATCCTGCTGTGAGAGTTTCGTCCTCTCCCTACCCCCCTCCTCATCAGACTCCTCCCGTACTGCTACGTGGTAACCCCAACCCTCAGCTGGAGCCAAGCCTTTGCATCTTCATTATATAAGTTTGATCCTTCTTGGCAAGTCCTCTTCTTATCTAAGACTTTCCTTTTCAATCAAGCGTTCCTGATTTGAGGAAAGTTTCTAGGCAATAGTTCAGGGGGGTTGGGGAGGCCCCGTGCGAATATGAATGGCGCTGTGGCGAGGTTCTGCAAAGAGGAGTCTTGTCGATGCAGCCTTTGATGGACCTGGACAACTGTCATCAAGGAGTTCATGAAACCTTCAATGACAGTGAAAGCGCTGAAGAGCTTGTCAAACCGCGAAAATCCCCCATCTTGCACCCCATTTTATGACAATGTTGTGAAACTGATGACAATGGTTTGAAATCAACCACCCCCTCCCACCCGGCCATGCGACGTCAACACTGTGAAACCGATGACATTCTCCACGCGCTGCTGGCATGGTCAACAAGACCCTCTCCCTTCTCCCCGCACCCGGCCCCACCCCTTCTAAAGAAGCACGGCCGTGTCATGACAATTTTGCACACACGGCCCACTCTAAAGTAATTTTGTACCCAAGCGGGCCTCGTGCAAAGGTCTCCCAAACAGATCTTGCGAATGGGGCTCACAAAAAATGCTTGCGGGCGACTGAAAAGCGGTCTTACAAAGGTGGTCTTGCGAAGTGGACTCGCGAAGGGATCATAAAAAGGGATTCACTTAAAGGAGTCGCACGAAAAGGTTTCGCGATGGGTTTCTGCGAAGAGATCTCTTGAAGGGTTTCCTTGCAGCTTCGCAGCTCCGGTCGCATTTTCCTGCCCTTCCCTCCCCGCACAATACGATCCTGTGCAAAAAAAAGGCGCTGAACGAAAAAACTTAGAACTACAAAGCGATGCATGCACAAGTACAAAAGCCCAACAGAAACATGGGGACCTCAACAGATGAGTCTTTAAAACAGTAGAAACTGGCCGCCATGGCCTTTTAAGTTCTAAGCCATGCGGCCAGCAGCTTCACCTCCCCAAACTACCAGCTGTCCATCCTTTTTCAGGGCTGCCAAGATAAAGCTGTTGCTGTGCCACTGCCTGGGGGGGGTCCTGAGCGCAACACGGACTGACAGGGACATGGACATGCGTTCAGACCAAAAGAGACAAGTTCATCGCCTGGCCCCAGACTACTACTGTAATTTCGGTACCTTGCCGCCTTAAATTGCTGAGGGTGGAGAAGCGATTTGTGCCCGACACGGGGACTTCTGCCAATGGGCTCGGATTTCAATGGTCTCTTCAGCTTCGGCTACTGCTGCAAAGCACTGTCTGCTGAATTGCATCCGAGAAACCGATTTGTCCACTACAACAATCAATCTATCTCCATCCTGAACTCCCTCATCCTCCAGGGACCTCGAATTGACAAAACAAATACTTGAATGACGGCGACTGCAAGTGGGAACAAAGGCTCGGCGAGATCAGACAAAGGATCAAGTGCTACAAAGGTTGCCAGGCAAGCAAGACCAGCAAAAAGGTCTCAAAGCAGTTTCACAGCTCCCGCACGGACTATTGAAGCACTTACCTACAGGTGTAAGTGACAAACCAAACTCATTCTGCCAAGAAAAGCACATAACATCATGGAAGGTGCAGAAAGACTTGGCATTAAAAAGCATCCCCAAAAAAATCTATCCCCTGCCAAACTCCCAAACTAGAATCTGCCAAGGAAGTTGCTTCAAATCAAGGTGCCTGGTGAGATTCAACAAAGCCCCTGATGAGCTGATCATGGACACCAACACGACATTCAATGCATCTTGTGCTCGGTTTAGGACATCGTCCACAATATCTTCTGGCAGTGCTTCAACCTCTGTCAGACCACGAACAACCCTACCAGTGAAAGACTCTTGTGTTGGTCTCTCAGGCCTCTCCCTTGCTAAAGCAAGCTAGCTAACGTCAGCAAGCACAATACGCTTGCTGACGTAACAAAGGTGTCGTAAAGATTAAGCTGGATGTTTCAGGGCTTAGTGTTTCTAGCCTTCCTGACCGTTTGGCTTGGCCAGAGTTGCCAGTCTTGAGGTTTGGCTTTATTAGTGGCCCTGTTCCTCCGCAGAATGTCTTGTGAAGCAGTACAAAAGGTTACTGTCTTGCAAATATCTCCAATCATCTAGGGCTCACACAGCTACCTCCTGGCCACTCATCAAGGCAAAGTGAAGCAGCATAGCTGCTGGATGAGGCAGGCAACTCGCGTTGAAAACTCTCTTTTGATGTTGCTTGGCCTTCCAATCACCCTTCTAGTCTCAGGTGTTTGAGATGCAATATTCCAGCAAGCCAGCATTAATACTTGTTGTCGCTGCCAATATACTGCTTGACATGCTTCAGTACAGGATTTATGCTGCAGCTGGTGCTGCAAATGCAAATTTGGCAATCAGTGACAAGCACCTGCATGAACCGGAGATGTGTTCCCCTGCTGTCTCTGTCTGTGTTCCTCAGACTACTTTCCTGGGAAACCCGCCACAGCTTTGACCACACGAGATCGCGCCAACGTGGCAGGGCCTGGGATGAAAAGCTGAGAAAGGCGCCTGCGACGAAATCGAACAGCGAAGCCTGGGTTTTTTTGATTTTGATCAATGAAGGTTCTTAGGAGCAGCCTCTTTGAGGTTCTTTCCCTGAGATCAGGAGCCACTTTGCCCTGTTTGTGAAAAGCAAGACTTGAGAGCGCGGCTTGTTCTTCATGTGCATATGGCCGCCTCTAGTTCACACAACAAATTAGATAGAATTTGAACTGGAATGTCCAAGCAAATGTCCCAACTAAAGGCATTCTGTCCTCCAGAACTGTCAAGTATTATATCATGTTCGCCTAGACATAGTCGATCCACTGGCTCGTAGCACAAAGGATGAGGTCCTTGGACAAAGGTCTCTGCTTGGTCTCGGCTCTGGCTGTTGTTTGGCATCATTTGGCTGTGATTGGTGGCTTGCCTCAGACTGCTTCAATCACTTGAAACATATCTCAAACTGCATTGGACCTAAGATGACCTAAGATACTGGGTTTTATTGTTCTATGTTGTTTTACTTAGAGGTTCCGGCCCTGGTGGCAACTTGCTGGGCAAATGTGACCACAATCCATCCTCATTGCATCCAACTCTTCCAAGTCTCACAAATCAGTATGCTCTTTCATTTTTTATAATTGTCTCTTTTCCTGAGGCTCCATGACTCCATGATGGTATTCGTTGATTTTCTGGTCTTTAGTTGTGTTGGTGTATGGTGTCATGTTCAGCCCCCCAGCAATTGATCACATGGCTCATCACAATGAGGTGGCTGAGTGCCGCATGCCTGTCTCGCCAGCAATGGTCAGCTGTTGATTGTGTATTCAAGAGAGTCAGGCCTTTGGCAATTGCTTAGCTCCACACAGAGGGGGGGGTCAATGCAATTCTTTCCGCAAGCACAAAAAATGGCTTCGTGCACCACGACTCGACACCTGCCAAATGGATCCAAATGGGAGGAACACGCGAATCACGGAGAGGACGCTACTAGGAACAAAGGGCATCGCTACTAGGAGCAAGGACGCTACTAGGAGTTTTTTTCACCAATCCAATGGATTGACCGAGGTGCGGAGGGCAATTGCCCAAGTGGCAGAAGTCCTGGCAGTCGCTCAGGACAAGAGCGATGGCCTCCAACCTACTAACGAAGGCCTTCTCCACCCCCTCCAACTGACGACTTAGCTAGTCGACCTGATGCACTCAAATGATGTTACAGCCGGGACGTGGGACTTCTCCTCACACGTGTGGTTGCCACAGGACAGTGGACGGCCGCACACTTGCAGGCAAATGTGTGCCTGATGCGTTCTCAAAGAAAAGGTGAAGGCGGGTGCATAAAAATGAAGCCACCTCGTGGTTGCGATTATTGAAGCCTTCACAGCACACTTGGTCACACTTGTGGTTCCTGGCAGCTCAGAGACCCTACTAACTAACAATTTTAGCCACCAATACTCATTTCGTGAACATGAGAGGAAATGCTGGAGGCTTCGTGACTCTAGCCGCACAGCAAAAGGAACAAAGGCACAACCAAAAGATTCAAAAAGTCAGAAGCCCTAGTGAAAACCCCGCACTTTTGCTTTGTAGTGTAACTGCTACGCCACTGAGCCTGGTGGCCAAGCCGCTTTCGAACTATATACGCCAGTGCATCTTTGTGCAAGGCCTAGCCTCACTCCATGTTAGCAAGGCTCTATACAGGTGGCCCGGCAAGCCCAGGGCTCAGACTCAGGAGTTCTCCGACAAATGGTCAGCTCTTAGAAGGAATCCTTCTTTTTGCGAAGTGTGGCGAAGACCTTGACTTGTGGCGTACCAAAGGTAGAAAATGAATGAACTGAAATGCAAATCAACGAATCAATATACACTTGTAGAACTCTTGTACAAACGAAGAGCAAGTGGTCTTTTAGCGGCATGCAGTAGATGTACTGCAACTGCTTTTCGCATAGTGTTTGCAACTAACACATCTGAGGCATCTTCTTCGACAGGACTGCAGCCAGGACAAATGCTCCTGCACAGGGAGGGCAGAATCTACCACATACGTGCATCCATTCATGCAACAGTGCTGCACTTCACTGCCCTACATTTGGAGTTTAATATATATCATATATATATCCCTTTGGAATCCTTATATGCACATATAATGTACTTGATTCTCACCTCATCTGGTCGTCTCCAGAACGGAGAAAGGGATTGATCAACCATTCCTCAGTGAAAATCACAAGAACATTTTATTGGGCAATGGCCCGGTGCAGCCGAAGAGCATTCTTCATGGTTGATGGAACTGTGAATTTTCTCTGGACCTATCCAAAGGTGCAAGATAATGATGCGGCAATGTCATTTCAGATTATATAGATGAACTAGTAAGCAATCATGGTCTCAACAACAGGCAGGACAAAATAAAAAAACAGGAGTCATTCATCATGGCCTTCTGCTCCTGCGCCCAGTCTATCATTTGCCTAGCAAGCTGCACACTCAAACTGGCTGGCATGAATCAGAATGCAATTGCAGCCACCTGAGAGTTTCATTGCCACCATCAACTGCAGTTGCGAACTGCAAGTTTTTGACCTTAAATGGACAAACATGTTGGCAAAGTCTCCAAGAGTTTGGCTGTCGTGGACGTCAAAATTGCAAGCTGCAAGTGATCAAGTGATCAACTGCTGATTCTGATGAGATGAGATGCGAGCTGTGTATTCGTGACCACAATACACTTGCGTTTCTGGCGGAAGCGCCCCTAGCCTGGGCGACCAGTGGAACATCAGGGGCTGGTTAACAGCTTCGTTTAAGGCTCTCACACAGTGACCAGCGAGTGATGAAACTCCTTTCAAGGAGCTCAATATGAAAGAAGAGAACGACCCGCGGAGACTGCTTTCACCCATCTTCCGAAGATTGTGAACGTATGGGAGACAGGTTTGCAGCTCCTCGGGCGTACTTTCGAACATGCGACCACAACCTTGGATCAAGGTGTTGCGAGCAACACAAGATGCCTGCAGTCTTCAGCTCAAAGTTCAGCACAAAAAGCCAGGCACTTCCCTCACTTCTAATTCCCGTCTTGTAGCCAGCCACGAAGAGCGTGTCTCCGGTAAAGACCAAGCCCTGAACCAAACGATTGACGAAAGCAATCCAGTTGGGTCAACGTGATAGTGGTGATGCTGCAATGTTGCTTCCACGTGGATTTGCTCTTGATACTGGTGATAGCGCGCTACCGGTTTGCTGCCTCCTTCTCCTTCCCGGGCACACAGCAAAAGTAGCAAATGGAACCCTTCGTGTGGCCAGGAGTATGCAAAGCGAGCACCTCCAGCTGCAAATCCAAAATGAACCCACACAAGACAAACACCCTTGGCTGACATCAGTGATTGAGCCATCCTGCAAATTCGTTTTGGGCAATGGCCCTATTTGAAGTTGAATCAAGCCTCAATCGAACCAATTGTGAACTTGTTGCCATGGTCCTCAAGTCAACGAGAGAAAGTCTGGTGCTGACTTCCATCACATGTGTCATAGGCATTGCAAATGTCTGTATAGACACCTAAGTCACATAATCAAGTCTCAAAGAGTTAGAAAGGGTTAAACAACACGCTCTTCCGGTGCAGTCCAGAGGGTCTGTACAGGCTGCAACCTTGTCAATGCGCCCACCAAAGATCTTGATGCCGGGGACCTATCGAAGACTGCAGTCGGACACGTGCAGCCAAGGCAGCAATAAATCACGCGCACATCATTTAAAAACTAGTCGTTTGCCTGCTTCGCCATCTCTGCGTTGCCTCCAGCATGGTCATAGTGATGGTGGGTAGTCAGGACCTGAAAGGATTCAGATTGCTTGATTTTGTCGTGAAAAGATCAAGTTCTGAAACATAGTTCTTCTAACAAATGACTCTGTCGTAGCTCTTCACAAGGTGGCCACCCCTTTTTGAAAACAGACTGACATTGCATGGCATACTGGATCTACGAATTATGTGCAATCTTGCCAAAAATCAAAGCGCGAACCCCGAATTTCTTAAGCCCTGCAAAATGTCCACACAATGGTACCTCTGTGCCCTTCACCTGCCGGTTGCCCATCAGCGGCCCCAGTGTAAAGCCAGATTCGATCCCGGTGCTCCAGAGAAGTTTCGTCGTGCTTCTCCATGGGATACAACTCATCACCCCGCTGGCGCCAAAGGGGGTTGCTACTTGTTGCCAACAGTTTGAAGCTTGCACTTGCCGTGCTCCCTATCTTAGTCGTGCTCCCTTCAAGCTGCTCGATTCGGAAGTGCTCCCGGCTCACCCATGCCAGCGCGTCTTCGTTCAAGGCCTTCTGGTGGAGGTCGTGCTGAAAAGCTCGCCCAACTGTAATTTGCCCAGCCTGGGGATCAATTCTGCGCTGTTCCATGGGAATCTCCGGCTTTACGGCACTGCCATCAAGTTCCAGCCAGAATCTTCCTGTTTCTCCCGCTGTTCCTTGCACAGGCTTTGCGACTACAGCTGCACTGTTCCCTTGTTCTAAGGTCAACCGGAGGAAACACTTCAGATCTGAACCAGCAATGAAGTCGATGCTGTCACCTGGGCACAAAAAGGATTGCTGCTCCTTGGAGAGATTCAAGCCCTTTATGACCACTGGATTTTGGCTGTGGTTCAGCACCATAAAATTTCCAGGCTCTACTTCACTCAACTCCAAGTGGGATCGGGAGATGAAGGTCAAGTTCATACTTTGTGGGCCAAGAATGTCTTCAAAAAAGCCAGGCTGATGCTGTCTCCCTAGAGTGAGCGATCGTGGCAAAGGCACTGCCCTTTGCTCAGCAGGGAGCTGCACCACCTCACGGCTGGCGGACATAGTGCATAGAAGGTAGAATGGAACATTGTCCAAGGACACCATCCAAGAGCTTTCATTCTGCCGCTCCTGCATCACTGGTTCTCCAAGCAACTCTACACTTGGTCTCGCATCCAACTGGAATTCGAATACCAAGAAGGAGGACCTGCCATTGGCTTCGCTTGAAAGGCCAATGCGGGCCCCATCATTCAGAAGAACTTCCTTCTGCTGCTGAATCTGGATATCATCCAAGAACATGGCATTTGCAGAGAGTCTTTTTAAAAAGAACCTCTCACCATCCCATGAGATCGAGAAATGACTCCTCGAGACGCAGCTCCTGAGAGCCTCATCTGGGACTAGTTTCTCAAAGTCATCGGTCTGATGTGATCTTCCTATGGTCAATGGCTCCGTCTTCTTGAAAACCAAGTTGACCACATGTTGAAAATCCTTCTCCAAGCCGAGAGCTTTCAGGCACTTCAAACGTGCTGCAACTGCTCCCGCTGCCGGCAGGCCAAGCGGCTTGAGGGGCATCTCTGCCGCTGCTTGAACAGCGTAGGTGGTAGCATGTGGAGATCCACATGGGTACATTGAGCCAGCTGAGCTACTCACAATTTGGAGCCTTGCCCATTCCACCACCTCTGGCCAGCTGGTCTTTCTAACCACCCCTTTGGGCAAGGGTTCCGGCGTCTTGGTCCAACTGTAGCAGCCTTCGAAATCGAAGAGAACAGCCTGGAGCTTCTGAGAAGCTTCGAGCACGTGCGGCAACTGGTCATCCACCAACCCAACAGCACCCAGACTTTTGGCAATGGAGCCCTTTGAAGGACTGCTTGGCGGAGTTGCTAGATGCAGTGCCGCAATCATTCTAGGAAAGCACCGCTCCAAAAACTGATATGTCACCGACTGGGCACTAAAAGGGCGGGCAGTGATGGCATGCACCTCGAAGTTCATGGCCTTCAAAGCCTGTATTGCTTCAAAGGCTCCAGGCACGGCCTGTGCATTCACTGCAGCTTCAGAGTTGAAGAATTGCTCCCTCACTGCAGCATTGCTGTGTGCATAGCAAATCTGAAAGCATTCGTTCACATCGGACACCCTATTGCCAGTTTGCCAAAGCATGAAGGCCTCTGCACATCTGCAAAGGACCTCATCAACGTCTACAGCCAAAATTCTCTTTCCGTGCACATCTTCGGTGGGACTTTGGAAGCTCTGCGGTCTCAGAGTGGCTTGCCCTTGCGGGGTGGCAACTCGCAGCTCTGAGATTGCTGCAGTCATTTGCAGGTTTGGCTGCATCTGTTGGCTCGGCTGCCCAGGCTGCCCCAAGACCGGCGCAAAACTTCCCATGGGCTGCATCTGCGGCGGTATGGTAGGCTGTTGTGGCAGGGCAGGCTGCTGCATTGACAACTGAGGCATATTAGGGTGTTGCAGTAGCTGCTGCATATTTGGTGGCTGAGGCATGGTAGGCTGTTGCATAGGCTGCTGGGGCATAGGTTGCTGAGGCATAGGCAGCTGATGCATAGGTTGTTGCATAGTCGGCTGGTGCATAGGCTGTTGCATAGGCGCCTGAGGCATAGGCGCCTGAGGCATAGGCGACTGAGGCATAGGCTGTTGCATGGGCAGCTGTGGCAAAGGCTGCGGTGGGCCATGCATGTGAGGAAATACCGGCAAGTGTTGGCCTGCCGGTGGTGGGTGCTCCATCATTTCGTGGAATGGTGGCAAGTGCTCAGGCGGTAAACCTCGAAAGTCGAAGCCTTGAGGACCCAAATCAGATCCTGGAGGCCGTGGCCAACCATTCCGCTGATCAAACATCAGCTTCTCTGGTGGAAAGTCTAGCATCGTGTCACCAGGGAAGCTAGGCGGTCGGAGCTGAGGCACTGGAAATGGCATCCCGCCGCAACCTTTGTCAGCCTGGACAGATGCCATGGCACTTGGAAAAGGTATCATTTTCTAGGAAAATGACAACTTGGTACAGAAGTTAGACACTTCGCTGCTCCATCTTTCAACTGCATCTGAGTGTTGTGACTGTGGGGAATGTCTGCTTGAGCATTTCGATAGGGCTACATAGCAGTTGTTTTGCTTATCAATCTCTTGTGGGTCCACAAATGTTCGAGTTCGTAGGGCAGCTGGCTAGGCTTCATGAGGTGCCCTCTCATGCTTCAACCCTGCCCAAGTCCAAATGGCTTGAAGGTGAGTGCTTCTTGCTGATTTATCGTTGAGCCCCTTCTTGCTGCGATGCAACTACATGGCTTTTGGCCTACAGTTTAGTAGGTCAGTGCAAGGTCTTTATGGCATCCTGACCGAGTAAAGCAAGTCTTTGAGGGAACTGCCGCGACAATTTCGACATTCTCTTCCTTGGCCTTGGCCAAAACTAGATGTGCCTGCACGCAGTAGCGCACGTGATCTTTGGCCAGCATGTGGCGTGCACTTGACACAAAACACCAATGGACCTCGGCAGGATCAACGCAAGCTGCGATCTTCTTCTCATCATCAATCAAAAGGTACCTCAGTGAACACAAACCTTGGGTCCAAACATCCCACAGCTCCAAGCAAGTGCTTACAGTATTTCGTTTGGCATTGTAACAGACTAGCTGCCAGCAAAGCTGGCAAAAGCAAAATAGTCCTGGTAAGTCCTGGTATGTCCTGACCGTGTAAAGCAATGGTTGGAGGACTGAACCCAAAAAGCAAGGTCTCGAGGGCAATGCATTGGCCTGGTTCCATCCAACCTGATTCCTCTGCATATCCAGTTGCAAAAAACAAAAAAGAAATACTGTACTGTAACAGTAACATCTGTAACATCAAAAGAGTCCATTTCTGATGTAAAACGTGCAAGCTCAGCAAGCTAAAAAGTGCTGGTGGCGAAGCTCTGACAAATGAACAAAAGAAGCTGTGCTTTCTATGGGAGACGTTGAAAGTACGACCAGCAACTGAGGCGCAAACGAGTAGTTGTCGGACAGCACTGGGACAACAACTACTCTCATGATGCCGATGCTCTAGAGCTTCATAGCAAGTTACTTTCACTGCAAAAGTTTCATAAGTCACTGTGACTTGAAAGATTCTGCGTGTGTGTGTGTAACCCTTGGAGTCATAGGGATCCTTTTGGATTTGCTCAGTTTTTTTCCATAGCAGGGGGACCATCCATGTACTGTGCGCGATGGTCCAACGAAGCGGCCACAGTACATGCGGATATCTGGCCTGATCAGCCAGACGTACCTGCCCGGAGAGAAACCTACGTAAAGCTCAAGCTGTTCCACTTCTGTGTTTTGCAGTAAACGTCTAATGCAGCGGTGATTCACCTCAGATTGTGAGCTTGATTTTTC